TTCCTGGTCCGCCGCTCTTGGCAGCTATCACGCGGTTTGGCCCTTGATACTCCATCCTGTAGCCCTTCTTTTCCAACCGCCCATACGAGATAATGTTCCTCTCCAAGTTCTTCGCGTACTCCACATCTAACAATAGCCCTGTACACTTTGGAGAAAGGCACATGGCGACTAGGCGTCCGGAGACGCTGCTGCTACAGCCGGAAGACTACATATGCGCCATGCTTGCGATGATTTTTATAGTGCCTATAGATGTGACTATGAAGGAAGGTTTGGCACCAGCGGGCGTATGATTTGCATGTGGTGAATGGCATGACACCTCAAGGTGTGCGTGTTTACGCCTATCGCTGTGCAGGAAGCCTGGAAAGGAAGTTGGTAATATGGGCGCGCTACACGTGAGGCCGTGGTGGCTGTTAGCGGAAGATTGGGAGATTTTGTGTAAGGATAGATGTCTGGTGGTGATGTTGAGCCTTTTGCTGGCTGCTCACCTACCCAAATTGACGTACGATTTTTTCGAGGGTGTTCTTCTAGAATGAAGGGGCGTGGCCTTGATATTGGCCGTAGCTAATGTTTGGTTCTGGTTCTCAAGGACGGAGGTGACCGCTTCTAGCATAGTCAATCTGTGCGGAGGCTACAGTCGTGTGCTGCTTCTACACGATCAATGACTGGCGGGGACTGTTCCCACAGCGGTGGCTAGCACGTGTTTTACGGGGTTGCAAGGGCGTGTAACGGCTAGAAAGGATGGGAAGCGCGCCAACGTGACGCGTCTCCGTGAAGACATTGGCGACGGAGCTAATGCCGTGCCTGTGGAATACTCGTTGGAGCATGGAGTTCAACGACCCGTGCGTAGTGAGGGCAGGTCTGTAGGGACTTGACGTCAGCGCCCGTGACGGACGGCCAGGGCATTGGTTGTCGAGGGCGTCTAAATAGATGTGACGGGGTCACACAGCACCTTGCGCAAGAGGAAGTTATCTTCCGAGAGTATACAAACTCTCAGTGAACGGCAGTTCACAGGTCCCCTCTTTTATTAAAGAGAGCGAAGTGACCCAAATAAGGTAGATTGTAAACTGAGTATATTTATAGGTAGATTAAGTTTGGGTTTAATACAAACTGTTAGTTACCTATAGAAATGCAATGTCATTTAACCAATGGTTGGCTTTGAACGACCTTGGTACCTTGTACCAAATATCTCGGAGTATGACGTGTCATACTCCTGAAGTGTGGAGTGTCACACTTCATGTAACCAGGGTACACTTAGGGCCACGTACCCCGTTACATCCTCCCCCACTTAGGTTCGGTTTACCGACCAATCAGAATGAAGAGGTGTTCGTCACAAACTCTCATTCTCAAAGTCGAAAACCATCGACTTGGCCGCGCGAGCGCGGCGGAGGCTCACTTCACAGTTAGAGCCTCGAGCAGCAACCTGTGCGCTCTTCGTCTAGGTCTCCACTTCGACCGTTAACATGCCTCGTGGCACTACTAAGAGTGGTGCTAAGACACGCTCCAAGGCTGCAGCCGGTAAGGCGCAGGCCAAGAGCACTAAGCCTCACGGCAAAGGCTCTGCACTCAAGGAGGCTACTCAGGTGGCCTCCGAGGCGATCGTGACGCGGCTGTGGACAAGCGCGCAAGCAGGCGCCGCAGCCCGTCGCCCTCGTCTTCAGACAATCGTCCGAACCCTCGGTTCGTAGAACGTGAGTTCAACTCGGGCAGTGAAGACGATGCCGAGTCCGAGAGCACTCAGGATGCTCCTGCGGGCTCTGTGGGAGGGCACAGCCCAGTGCCCAGTGAGCACAAAGAAGGCAGCGTGCAGTCGCCCGCTAGTGATCGCGGTGATCACAGTCCTAGGACCTCTGTGCGCTCTGAGAGTCCGGCCGTTAAGGCTAAGGGCGCTCCCAAAGCCGGTGGCGATGAGGAAGAGAATCCTCGCAAACGTCTCTCGCTTGCCGAGGGTCTTGGGCGCGCTAAGGCCTCTAAAGCCGAAGGCGCCAAGCCCTCAAAGAAGCGTACCGCCTCTAAGTCTCCACTCCGCGAGGAGAAGGAGACTCGACGCACCTATCAGAGTCTCTTCGGCTCCTCGGATGAAGAGGAGGAGAAGGAGGAAGAAGAGGAAGAGGAGGGAGCCATTGTTGAGCCCCGGGAGGTCTCGAATGACCTCGACCAGCAGCAGGAGGATTTCCAAGCTGCCCAGCGTGTGCGTGGGGGTTCGGTGGCGGCACCCGTCAGCCAGGGAGCTGCCATCAACTCAAGAGGGTATTGGCCTCCCGAGGAGAGCTCTGGGGCTGACCTCTTCTTAGAGCTTCTCGTCGCTCCTCGTGGCCTCGTGGGCGGCCACACTTCTAGGGGCATCTATGAACGAGCCCTTGTTCAGAAAGAACAGTTGTTCGTCGACAACTTGGAGGCTGCTCGGTGTGTGCTTCTCGCGCAACACCGCATTCCCCTTAAGGACTTCACAACTTGTCGTAAGAAGCTCGAGACCCGGGGTGGTCTCTATCCTGTTTGGGGATACCCCTGGGTTATGCCCGAGAACTGTCCCACGTGGAGTTCTTGTGAGGACATGTTCTGGGCGTGGGTGGAGACTCTCAAGTACTCGCCCACGGAGTTATGGGAACTCCATGAAGATCAGCAGCTGTCCCACATCCTGGACCAGCGTGATCTTCGTGTGAGGTTTGCCCACTTGATCAGCAAGCGTATGCTGCCAAGGGACATCCTGAAGCGCGCGGCTTCTAGCGCTCACGATGAGCGCGGGTACGGTATGTATTCATCGACCGTACCCCGTTCGGGCAAGAAGCCCCGGACTACTTATGAAGCTGCCGCCGCTTCTGTTCCCAGATTGCGACAGCCTTCGGGCAGTCAATCAGGAGCCGTTCAATCGGCTCCCACGAGTTCTCGGAGTGGGCATAACCCCTCCACTTCACGAGGAGCTGTCGCTTGCCGCGACACCGTTGCTCCTGGAGGATCCGCTCCACGTGGAAGTGGGCTTCTCCATTCCGGTCAAGGAGCATCCTGAGTGCTCTCGGACTCGGCATCGTCTTCACTGCCCGAGTTGAACTCGCGTTCTACGAACCGAGGGTTCGGACGGTTGTCTGAAGACGAGGGCGACGGACTGCGGCGCCTGCTTGCGCGCTTGTCCGCAGCCGCGTCACCCGAGGAACCGATCGTCTCGGAGGCCACCTGAGTAGCCTCCTTGAGTGCAGAGCCTTTGCCGTAAGGCTTAGTGCTCTTGGCCTGCGCCTTACCGGCTGCAGCCTTGGAGCGTGTCTTAGCACCGCTCTTAGTAGTGCCACGAGGCATGTTAACGGTCGAAGTGGAGACCTAGACGAAGAGCGCACAGGTTGCTGCTCGAGGCTCTAACTGTGAAGTGAGCCTCCGCCGCGCTCGCGCGGCCAAGTCGATGGTTTTCGACTTTGAGAATGAGAGTTTGTGACGAACACCTCTTCATTCTGATTGGTCGTTAACCGAACCTAAGTGGGGGAGGATGTAACGGGGTACGTAGCCCTAAGTGTACCCTGGTTACATGAAGTGTGACACTTCACACTTCAGGAGTATGACACGTCATACTCCGGGATATTTGGTACAAGGTACCAAAGTCGTTCAAAGCCAACCATTGGTTAAATGACATTGCATTTCTATAGGTAACTAATAGTTTGTATTAAACCCGAACTTATCCTACCTATAAATATACTCAGTTTACAATCTACCTTATTTAGGTCACTTCGCTCTCTTTAATAAAAGAGGGGACCTGTGAACTGCCGTTCACTGAGAGTTTGTATACTCTCGGAAGATAACTTCCTCTTGCGCAAGGTGCTGTGTGACCCCGTCACAAAATGTCTCACATTTATTTGTCAAATTAAAACGTCGCTCATTCTCACTTGGTGTCGACGCGTGGGGGGAGGGTTGTTCTCCTTCTCCTCTGAAAATACTATCCCGCTCTTCATAAAGCAGTGGCGAATTGTCTCTGGAGTGATATCGTCCGTCAACCCACTTCATTCCTTGCAATTGGTCAACGTAGTAGATACCCTTTCCCTCCGGAGCCTTGTGTGGCATCGACTTGCCAGCCCTATCGCACGCCAAACTCATGTGCCTATCGCGATGACCACTCTTTGCTGCCGCAATAATTCCGGCGTCCATTGGCTGAAGATATGATGTATATGATTAAAAGAGTGATGGTCAGTCGAAAATGGTCGATCAATTTAGATATGGTTACAGTACCTGTACCTGTTTTGGTGAACCATTTTCGAAATGTAAAGGGTCACTGACAATAAATGATATGGTATTATTTATAATAGTCAATTTGGTTAGAAAATGTTCAATTCTGCCCCCCCCAATTGGTTATAACTGAATCCGAAATCGCTCCATACAAATATTAAGTCAAATGTTGTCCTTCCGAGCGTCTGATAGGACAAAATGAGCTGTATAGGTCACATTAAAATTCATTTGTCCAGTGCAAAGCGCAAATTGTTTTAACAATTATAAACAGCAAAGATTGAATTTTCAGAAAATGGCAAGCATTCTAAAAACCAAATGATGGTCATTGCATCTTAAATTGTCCGACAAATTTTGGGGAATGACGCTGGTGTCAACGTCGCTGGGCGGGCGGCGCAGCGACGTCTTCTGGACGCGCATATTCCTATTCGGCGCTTCCTGTGTGGCGGGACTCATCATCGCCCGCCGCCGGAAGCTGCACCGTTTTCACCTGCACATCCTGAATGCCAAGTCGGCGGACTGCGGCCGCCTTTTCGGGCTCGATATTGGCGGCACGTTGACGAAAATGGTCTACTTCCAGTCGGCTGACGGTGCGGCCGCGGTGCAGCGACAGCAGATGGAACGTCAGCTCAATCGATTGGATCCACTGACCCCACGCGAGCGGCGGCGCGTGGAGGGCAGCCTGCCTCTCATCGATGACTTCATCATGAGTCTCCACGCCACGGACGAGGCTCAGCGCGAGGAGCGACTGCAGCTGTTTGTACCTGAGCTAGGTGGAACCATCCACTTTATTAAGTGCGTGCTTGAGTGGGTAGATATTTCGAGATTCATTTAACCGAATGACGTTGTTCCTTGTGCAGCTTTCCCACAGCCAAAATGGACGAGATCACAGACTTTGTGCGCCGCCGTTTCTTCCACCGATACATTAAGAAGATCGCCTGCACAGGTGGCGGTGCCTTCAAGGTGGGATACTCCTACAAAAATTCTCTGTTGTTTGATATTCTGACTTCGTGGATGTGTGTCGAATGCAGTTTTCTCCGTTGTTCGTGTCGCGCTTAGGTATCGAGCTGCAAAAGGCGGATGAGATGGATGCACTGATCCAGGGGCTCAACTTTGTTCTGCAGAACGCTCCAAACGAGTGCTTCACGTTCGTGAAGGTGGTTCCAGACACCCAGGGGCTTGGAAGTGCAACAAAGAAAATGCTACCAAAGCTGAACAAGCACGACTTGTATCCGTTCCTCCTCGTGAATATTGGCTCCGGTGTGAGCATTCTCAAGATCACAGGAGAGTCGCAATACGAACGCGTGTCTGGCACGAGCCTGGGCGGTGGAACCTTTCTAGGTCTTTGCCGCGCATTGTCTAAGCTTCACACGTTCGACGAGGCGATGGATGCCAGTGTTGAGGGGGACTCGAATGAGGTGGACATGACCGTGGGCGACATCTATGGTACCGCCGGATATGAGCAGTTCCATCTTAAGCCAGACACAGTAGCCAGCAGCTTCGGCAAGGCCGGCGCGCGGCGCCAGCCACATCCACCGCAAGACGCTGACCTAGCGCGCTCGCTGCTCTTTATGATAACGCAAAATCTAGGCCAGCTGGCATATTTGAATGCGCGCCGCGTGGAGACCAAGCGGATCTATTTTTCCGGCAACTTCCTGCGACGCAACGAGCTAGCGTGCAGGCAGTTGGCTTACGCAATCAGCTTTTGGTCCAAGGGTGAAATGCAAGCGCAATTCTTTCATCACGAGGGCTTTTTCGGTGCGCTAGGGACTTTCTTGCAGCGCTTTAGCTCGGCCTCTGAATTACCGGCTGTGAGCGAAACAGTAGCGGAGCAGGAAAATAGCAGCGAAACGGATGGGGATCAGATTAGCAGCAGTGGAGAAGATCAAAGGGGCAGTTGTTCCCACACAGAATAGAGGAAACTCGTGCAGAGGATTGTTGTTGGAATGAAGTAAACTACTTCTGTACGAATTGTACAGTACCGTAGATGACAAAACAACACGCTAAAATTTTCGTCGATTTTAAGAAGGGTGAAATGACGAAATACAAGCATTTTTAGGTTGTCGACATGACATTTGTTTTTTTTGCTGTTTTACCAAAATTTGATTTTTAAATTAAAGGGTTAGAATGCCAAAAAGCTTATCCGCGAACACAGTACTTTAAAAAAAGAAGTGTGGACCTCGGCACCACTTACTAAATGCAACCTATACAGGCGAATTGCATTAGCTCTTGCTTTGAAAAATGGATTCAAATGAAATTTAAGTGCTGCGCTTGAGTACGATACTAATATGTAGATCACATCTAATACATGCTATCCTTAAATTTGTCTTTAAATATTAAAGTTGCGCAGGTATAAAATGTCAATAATTTATGATATTTAATAAAGCTTATGTGAGGGAGCTTGTCGGTGAGGAAGCTAGGCATCTTTCAATACGGAACCAAATACATACAAATGTAGTTGCACGCGGGTAGGGCGCATAAGCTGGCAATGCTCACAAGTTTATAGAGACCGGTTTTTTGTCTCACAAGATGGGCGATGCGAATAATTAACTCTCCCAGGCCTTGACATATCCACCCTTATGCCAGTTTTGGGCGGCGAATCCAATAATAAGTATACCACATAATTCTATTTAAGCTAATGAAGGGCTGTCTTAGCTGCGCTCGGCAACATACGGATAGACGGACGCACGGACGGATAGACAACACGCTCCACTATTAATAGGGGGGTTCAACATACGGATAGACGGACGCACGGACGGATAGACAACACGCTCCACTATTAATAGGGGGGTTCAGACAGACAGACAGGCAGCCGCTTTGGGTGAGGTTTAAAATTGCAAGACGCACTTGCCCCGATAGACGTTTCTAGAACACTACATTACAGCCTCTGCTGTCTCGGCAGAGCTAATGCGCAAAATGCAAGCCAGCGTTGACTGCAGCGGAGCTGCCGTAGCTTTAGCGTCAGAAGAAGACGTTCGACTCAAGGAGTCACTAATACTAAGTTCCTTATCCAAAGGAGCTTACAGCCCAAGACCAGGGCTCAAAGTTAATACCTTAATTTTTTATGCTTCAAAACCAGACGTGTTTTATTTACTATTATTGCGGCCAAGCCGCCCAGGGGTAAATGTGTCCGTTTAACTATCTAGCGTAGTTAAACCCTAATCAAATGCATAACGTGTGGCTTTCAGACAACGTACTGATATACTATGTTAGCTCTCCGACTTATGTACTGAGCGTTTGTTAACCTCTCCGGGTACTCCGTACCCCTGTGTGTCCCACACCATATAACCTCGCTACATTGACGGTGATTGGGGGACGTGATGCAAGCTTTACTTGCATCAAACATATACAACGTTTTATTCTTCAATATCATGTTCTGATTACTCCTCTGACGTGACTCCGAGACAGCAGAGGGTGCTTCAAAACAGAGGTTCTATTTGGGGTTTCGGCTAAAGGCAATCACATCATCTCCATTTTTCTTGGTTTGTTGACACGTTGTAAGCAAAAATTTCGGGCTACATTATGGGTGCGCAAACGGACACATTAAACCGATACGCTGTGCAGCATATTCCCACCTTCGTCAGCACAACAGATCATCCAACGATGTCTTCCATGATCATATCCCTGAATACCGTGACTGCTTATTGAGAAATACCGGTTCCTGACGGTACATACTCATGGAAGGGTTAAACCGAACCGGTCCATTGCGATCCCGCGATGATTACGGTACGTTGAATACGCCACCGATGGTTAGATGAGTAGGACGATTGGACGAGTGCAGAGAGTGTTGGTGATTACATGCACCATATGATTGGATGGCCTAGAAGGTGAGACAGTGTAATTTCCAATAAATCAATCACTTCATAATCCTCCTTCTTCCCCTCAAGTGTCCTCTCTCCGGTCTTCTCTCCGAGTGGCGGCTCTTCCTTCGCTCCGTCCAAACTTTACATTGCCCAAGATCCGTGACTCCGATCAAGTAATGAGCCCAAGCACCATGTCCTCAGCGCAAGACGTTCAACCAAGGCCTCTATCGACAAGCTCAACGGCGACAACTTTAAGCTTTAGGTACTCTCGTGCCAAGGATTGGTATGTCAAGTCGAGCAACATCACGTTTAGATTGATGTTGGTTTCTCCAAACGAAGACAGATTACCATCACGCGGGCGACATCTGTAAGGAGGCGAGGATCGGGTGGGCGCGTTCCAAGACGCTGTACGGAGGATCGCAGAAGGCTGATCACATCTACCTGAAGCGACAGTCCTTCAGCATGAAGATGTATGAAGGTGTGAATGCGTTGCATCACTGCAGCGAGGTTCTGAGCGTCAGCGCCAACCTTAGCAGCATCGATGCCAAGATGGAGGACGAGGACGTGGCGATCGTCTCGATGTGCAGTCCTCCCAAGAGCTACGAGAACGTTGTGGAGATAAATTTTGCTGAGCTGAAGACGCAAGACGTTGTAAAGGTGCTCACGAATGATCATATCAAGCGACAAAACGAGAAGACTTCTGTGGTGAAAACCGAAGACGCGGAAAGGGCGTTCAGTACCGCGTCAGTGTACTTACTGCGGGAAATTGGGGAACGTGATTTAGAAGGGCTGGACCAAACCGAAGAATAATAATCGAGGAGGTCGACGCAGCGGCAATGGTCGTGAACGTGGGGCCAGCAATGTCCAGTGGTAAAATAACGACTTCGACTACGTCTATGATCGCGCAGTGTTTGCGACTTCGTTGGAATGTGGCGTTTTGACGGGCAAGAATATGTCTGGTCAGTGGGCAGTTTACAGCGGTGTGACGCACCATATCAAAGCGACAACGTTATGATCGTCAAGCTGAACGGACGATATGAAGGCGAGCTGAAGGTCGCTGATGTCACCAACGTTGCTAACAAAGGTGTCGGAGCCATCATCCCACGAGGGATGCTTCTCAACAGCGACGAGCGCGAAATCGAGATCAACAACGCGCTCTACGTACCGAAGATGAAGAAGAACTTACTATAGGTGCCGCGAGTGGTGTTCAATGGGGCAGCCATGCATGTTGCGCGCAAGGATTCGAAATAAGTGGTGGTGACGACAGACCTCGCG